AGAGAGGAGAACAGGTGGCCCCCTGGCCCCCCCGAAAGTCAGGTCATGACTCTTCAGACTGGTCGACCTTCTCAGACGGAGGGAGTGCCCCAAACACAATGGCGAACAGCATGAGAAGCAGGACGGTGATGACGAATATGCTGATGACAGCCAGGCCCCCCTGGTCCCAGGGGTTCTGCCAGAACTCTTCCTTCCAGAGGCGCCTCTGGTCTGTTAGCAGTGGATCCATGTGGACCTGTGAAGGGGACAGAGGCACTGAGTGCACGGCCTCTCCAGGCCCTGCCCCAGGCGCTGCTGTCCACACCCGCCCCGTGCCCACCCCCGGGTCCACCCGCTGGGCCATCTCCGAGAACCACAGGCCCCATGCAGCTGGTAGACTCTGACGTGAAGAGGGTCTCTGGGCTCCGTGCCTCCTGGGGAAACGGGTGAGGGCTGGCACCCCCAGGGGCCTTTGGGTCCGGTGGAGGCCACCTCCGGATTCTCAGAGATGTGAGCAAGGATTCCTCTCGCAGCTGAGACCTACTCGGCTAAAGCTTCGCTGCCTAGACCCTATTTTTCCTGCCTCGATTGCCAAACGTTGGAAGCGTTTTGAGAGAGCAGCATGGCTGCGGAGGAGCGGACAGCCTTGAGCTGAGACTTCTGGAAACTTCCTTGGAGGCAAGCCTGTGCCAATAGAAGGGAGTCAGGGCTGAGAGGGAAGGCGTCTTACCTGACTCTGCTGTTAACACTCCCGAGTCCTGAGAGGGCGGATGGGGTGACCCTGAGGGGCCCACACTTTAGGGGACGAGCTGGAGAGGCCAGCAGGTGACCAGAGCGGTGCTCTGACTCGGAGAAGCAGCTGATGGGAGGAAAAGGTGTCCTCAGTGCCAGGTGGCCCTGCCCAGACCTCACTGCTGTCACAAAGGCGACAAAGGTGGGCCAGAGCCCGTGGCCTAGCAACCTCTGGTCCCTTTCTGCCTTTCACACTTACGCCCTCAGCTGCATTCTGTCCTCTGATGTCATGGGGGGCGCTGCTCAGGGCACACGTGTGGAGATGTCCTCGCTAAGAGAAGTCCGACTTGGGGTGAGTAGGGGAAGAGACTGGAGTCAGGGCCCTTGCCCCCGGCCTTCCATCCACCTCCCCTCTCTGTCTGGATGACGTGGCCTGAAAGGACCTGCCCAGAGCTCAGAAGCCCTGGGGCTGGAACCACCCCTCAGGCTTCCTCCTGTGGTGCAGGGCGGATGGGTAACTGCGCCTCCTGCTGGCGCCTCCTGGAACTCATTTCTGGGTGGAAGAGCCTCCCATGGAGGCTCTGGGTGCTGTGGGCCTGCCTTCTCCCCAGCTGCTTTGTGTGGTTGGTTCCCGCCCACTGGTGTGACAGGCAGCTAGGAAGTCGGAATGGGCCGGTGCCCTGGCATGTGATGCCTGGCGGCCACCACTTACTCCACAAGTCAGGTGTCAAGCTCCGCTGTGCCAGGCGCTGCTGCCCAGCATGAATCAGGCAGGCCCCCTCCCAGAGCTGACATTCTAGCGCCCTGTCCTCACCCTGCTTGTAGGATCATCTAGGAAAGCGGTTCTCAACCTGTGGGTTGTGACCCCTTTGGCGGTCGAACGACCCTTTCACAGGGGTCGCCTAAGACCATCCTGCATATCAGATATTTACATGACGATTCATAACAGTAGCAACATGACAGTTGTGAAGTAGCAACAAAAATCATTTTATGGTTGGGTCACAACATGAGGAGCTGTATTTAAAGGGCCAGAAGGTGGAGAACCACTGATCTAGGAGCTTTTCTAAGTGCCCGTGCCCAGGCCCGTCTGGTGCCACTGACGTCACTCCCTGGGCGTGTCAGCCCCCTGCCTCGTAGAGCTGGCCAGGTGATTCAGATGCACAGCAGGTGCAAGGAGGCGGGTGAGGAGCAAGTCCCTCTTAGTAACCATGGGCTTAATTGACCCAGGACGGCCTGACTAATGCCCTTGGCCTGCTGACCGCTCCCAGCCCGTGGGCGGGTCTCTGGGATGCCCTTGTACTTCCGCTCCTTCCGTGAAGCTGATGCTTATCAAGAACCAGCTGTTTGTTCCAAACCTGTTTGTGGCCGTTGTCATTGTAATTACATAATTACAGTCAGTCACCGGTGACTGACACTATACTTTCCGTCCAGAAGACAAAACAGGCTGGGCGCTTAACGTGTTAATAGTACGTGAAAAATGAAGCAACAAGGATAGCCGAAACCCCGGTTTTACAGCTGGGACAGGCACGCTCACATAGCCGAGGGGTAAACTGCGCTGGGTGTGAACTCCGAAGCTGTGCGGACCTCAGTGAGTGGGGAGCCGAGGCTTCCGTCAGTGCCTCCCTGACCACTTTGGAGTGATTCTGGAATCACTCACCCAGTGCTCCTGCCCGTGTGTCACTTGGTGTGGACGACTGGAAACGTTTTGTAAAAATGCAGGAGGAGCTCACACCCTTGTTCTGCTTCCACGAAACCAAACGAGACAATCCCGGAGCTCTGGCCACACTGACCAGGAGAAGACCCTGGCCCTCCCTGCGGCGGGAAGACCATCGCTTTCACCACCTCTTTTAGTCAGTTGCTGGCAGATCAGAGCATTCTGCTGAAGGGACCACCATGCAGAGAAGTGGGCTGGGAGGGGGAGAGGGGGAGGGTGCTGTTGGTGTGGTGGCAGCGCCTGGCCTGGGCCTGAGGGGCCGCCCCTGGAGGAGAGAGGTTTGCGTGGAGACATGGAGACGGTGTCAGAATTAGAATTGGGAGCCGGGGCTCTGTGGCAGGCGCCAGGCCCCAAGGACAGGGAGGGAACTGTTTTCAAGGACAAATTAATTTGCCTCAGCGTTTTATGGTCTGGAACTGGTATCACCCACAAGCAAATAGGTTCGTCGCTGGGAACATTTGGCTGTGGATTGTGTTCAGTAGTTAATGTTTGAGAGGCAAGTTGCAGGACCGAACCGGTTTGCAGGCTCTCCGCCACCGTTTGCGAATGAGAGTCCTGCACGGGTGGCTGCACAGCGGCGTCTGAAAAGGCACGTTGTATAGACAGTGAAATGCACGGACCTTATGTGCAGACTGAGGCCCTTTTGAGGAACCGAGAGCACAGAGGCCACAGAGGGAGGCACGGAGCCTGACGGGCGATGTGGAGCCGCCTCAGACACGGCCGCAGTGACCGCAGGCAGGCGTTGGGTGTCGGCGGTGGCTCGGTCCAGGAGGCTGCGGTCCCAAGGGGAATGGAGGAGTGTTGGGTCTGGCTGCGCCCTGGAAGGGGCGGCCTTCAGGTTGTCCCACGATGGGGGGATTGCTGCCGCCTCTCCATCCCACCTGCCCAGAGAGACCCAGGCTGGGAGCTGCCCACCAGGAGCGTGCAGGCTGCTGTCGCTGGCACAGCTCTGGGTGGGATTGAAGCCAGCCTGGGGCTTGGCCCGATTGGCGGGGTGGGGTGGGGAGGGCTCGGGGTGTGCCCCTTTGCCAAGGAATGGGGAGGAGCCAGCCCCCTGAGGACAGGGACAGTGTCTTGTTTGGACACAGGAGTTAGGTACTCTCTGGCCTGGAGGAGAAAAATGCAAATAAACCAGCCAGCCAGCCCTGCGGCCTCCTCTTGGCAGCTGGACCAGGAAGCTAGAATCTTTTCTAACGAAGAGGTTCAGGCCCGGCCACCCTCAGGACGGGACACCATTATTTTTTTTTAATGTGGAACGTTTCACGAATTTGCATGTCGTCCTTGCGCAGGGGCCATGCTAATCTTGTCCGTGTCGTCCCACCTTCAGTGTGTGTGCAGCCAAAGTGAGCACGGGAAGGGACATCCTTGCTGGAGGGAAAACTTGCTTAAGGAAAAGTCGTATGGGGACCGGCCGCTGCGCTGCTGGAGCAGCTCCTGGACAGGGGCTTCCTGGGGACCCTCCAGCCGGGGAGGGTGGCGGTGGTGCAGGGACTGAGGGAGGCAGGGCCCGCCTCCCGCCCCTCCCACCTTCCTCCTGGAGTTTCCTTCAGGAGGGAGACCTGGCTGGGCCCCACCCGCTCACAGGAGGTTATTCCGAGACAGTTCAGGGTTGGGTGTTGGGGATGTGGGGCTGGTTGGTGGAGGTACTGGATCAGAGCCTTCGCTCCGGGAGGCCCCGGCTGGGTGTGGCAGTGGGGGCTATGCCGCCGGCGGGCTGGGCCCAGAGGTGGCTCTGCCACTTTGCAGCTGGTTGAATGTAGACAAACTATCTAGTGTCACTAAGGTTCAATTTCCTCCTCTTTAAAATGTGTTTCTAGTGTTACCTACAGCGTTGTCATTGCGCTGATTACATGAACTTACCTGCAGCCAAACTCTGAAGACAGTGCCTGAGCGTGTGCAGTGTGAGCCCTCAGTGGGTTTTGTTGCCTTTCTGGCCACACCACCAGCATTGTTGTCATCATTCTTAATCCTATTCTTCGGGGGGCAGGGTTGAGGATACAGGCAGATTCTTGGACTTCTTTTATTTTGTACAGAAGCACTTCCTCTCTGAATCTTCCATCGAAACCAAACCCACAAGTCCCTGGACACCAGGAAGTGGAACTAGCCAGAAAGCTTAGCTTCCCCGCCCGCCTGCCAGCTGGAGGGGGGGGTGGTGGCAGGGTTGGCATCCCCTCCCCACCCTGTTTTCCGGGCCACGGGCTTCTGCCCTCAGGCGGCCAGAGATGACAGGCAAGTGCAAAGTGCGGACCTCTTTATGGCCCTGGGACCAGGGGGGACGGAGGGGAGGTGCCCTGGGAGCCGCTGCCTCCCCTGCCGTCATCCTGGGTTTGCACCCACGTGCCATGTTCTCTGGAAGAGAGGGTGGACTGAAGTGGAGGCAGGACATCTGCGGAGCTCTTAGCATGTGCCCCGCACCGTGACAAGTGCCCGACAGGTCATCTTAGGTCACCCCACGAGCGCACCCCGGGAGGCAGGGACCAGGACTAGCCCATTTCCCGGGGAGAAAGCGCGGCTCGGGAAGGTCGCATCACTGACCTGCTTTCCCGCAGCTGGAGTGCTGGGGCGAGGGTTCGAACCGGGCAGTTGGGCACATAAGCAGGGAAAGGGCGAAGGCGTCGGGACGCAGGTGTGGGCAGAGCTGGGGCCCGGCCCCTCTTACTCCAGCAGTTGGGGGAGACCAGAGGCCGGAGCCTCTAGCGCGAGGGTGCAGGCTCCTGTTAGTGGCAGTGACAGCTGGGAAGTGGCGTTTCTGAGCCAGCACCTGCCTGGGACACACGCAGCGTCCATCGCTGCCCAGTGGGCGTCTGGGAGCCAGAGCTCGTCAGCTGGTGCTTGACA